ATAAATAATTAAACTAAAATATACTAAAATAATAATATATTAAAGAGGTTGAAAAGGTTTAAATATAAAATGGTAATAGGAATTTTATGAAAAAAAAAACTTTGAAAAATTTATTTTGTTAGGATTAAATTTGGATTTATGCGGATTAATTCTTTTTAAATATTTTTTAATAAGATAAATAAGGATCGTGTGTTATTAAATATACGCATAAATTATCTATATATACTTTCCGAAGACCAACCTCACTACCGTCAGCAACTCCAAACATTTGATGGCCTGTTGGGGGACATGGTATTTGCCGATTACACCCGCCAGGTTTTGGATATTCTTAAGAGGACTTGTGGAAAAAGTAAAATAATAATTGGGTTCCGTATAGATTACACCATGACGGGTTTATCTACGAATTCCGTACAAGTAGCATGTACTGTGGTGGTGGGTGACTGGCTTGGCATTTTTGTTCAGTATTTGGCTTCCAAAGGTATAGAATTATATTTCTGTTAAATCAAAGGTAAATACAACCAATACTAGCTACCTATGGGACCCTTAAAATCGGAGCACATGTAAGATACCTTGCCTAAAGATCCATGGACATATTCCCAAAAAATCGATGTACTTGCTGGGTTTTTCTTCCTCAAAAAGGCGTTGGCCATGTGAGAAGTAACGCAAGATATCAATAGACATTTGTAATTTTCCCAAAATACCGGTGGACATTTGGGATTCGAACTTCCCAAAAAAAAACATGCACATATTGGGAACTTCCTCAGAAAATCGATGTATGTGTTGGGAACTTCCCCAAAACAAAATAGCGGCGCGCATGTTGAGAACTCCATCAGAAAATCCATGCAAATATTCGGAACTTCCCAGCAAAATGGATGTGCATGTTATGAACTTCTGCCAGAAATTGATAGACACGTTGGCAACCCCCTCTATATATCGATGGACATCTAGTTGGCAATTTTCGTTCAAAAATGACGAACACGTAAGGACTTTCCCCGGAAAATCGGTTTCCACATGTTGGGAACTTCCCCAAAAATAGCGGCGTACATGTTGGGAACTTCCGCGGAAAATCGATGCACATGTGGAACTTTCCGCGGAAAATCGATGCACATGTTACGAACTTCCACCAAAATCGATGCACATTGTGGAACTTCACCAAAAAATCAATGCACATTTCGGAACGGCGCCAAAAAATCAATGCACACTGTGGAACTTCCCAGAGAAGTCGATGCACCGGACGGGCTTGGGTGCATTGATTTTTGGGATTGACGCTGACCTGGTCCGAGGCGGAGTCTTTTCGCTATTTTTCGGTTTAAACCTGAACCAAAATCAATGC